AAAAAAAAAAAACGCTACTAGCAGTAGTAAGTAGTTTAACAAGGTCAAAGGATATAAAATCAATATATAAAGAACAGTTGTATTTCTATATACTAGCAACAAGCAATCTGAACATTTTTTTAAAAGATTTTATTTATTTGAGAGAGAGAGAGAACACAAGCAGGGGGAGTGGCAGAGGGAGAGGGAGAAGCAGGCTCGATCCCAGGATCCTGAGATCATGACCAGAGCCAAAGGCAGATGCTCACGCAACTGAGCCACCCAGACGCCCTGAACATTTTTTTTTTTTTTAAGATTTTTTATTTAAGGATGCCTGGGTTGTTCAGATGGTTAAGCATCTGCCTTCAGCTCAGGTCGTGATCTCAGGGTCCTGGGATGGAGCCTGCTCCTGGCTCAGCGGGGAGTCTTCTTCTCCCTCTGCCTCTCCCCCCTGCTTGTGCTCTCTCTCTCTCTCTCTCTCAAATGAATAAATAAAATATTTTTTAAAAGTTTTTTTATTTGGGGCGCCTGGGTGGCTCAGTTGTTAAGCCTCTGCCTTCAGCTCAGGTCATGGTCCCAGGGTCTTGGGATCGCATCCCTCATCGGGCTCCCTGCTCAGCAAGAAGCCTGCTTCTCCCTCTCCCACTCCCTCTGCTTGTGTTCCCTCTCTCGCTGTCTCTCTCTCTGTCAAATAAATAAAATCTTTTTAAAAAGGTTTTTTATTCATTTATGGGGCGGGGAGCAGAGGGAGAGGGAGAAGCAGACTCCCCTACTGAGAGCTGGATGCTTAATTGACTGAGCACCCAGGTGCCCCTGAAAATTTTTAAGAAAAAAATTCCATTCACGGGAAAAGTGTAGTTGAGTGGATGGGTGAAATACGTGATTGGGATTAAGAGTACACTTACTGTGATGAGCACAGAGTAATGTATAGGATTGTTGAATCACTACATTGTACACCTGAAACTAATATAATACTGCACGTTAATTATACTTAAAAAAAAAAGAAAAAATCCATTCACAATTGTATCAAAATGAATAAAATTCTTAGGAATAAATCTAACAAGAGTGTACAAAAAAGAGTTGATGCAGCAGGCTAAACGCTTACCCTTAGAAAAACCCTGCCTACTAACTTAACCCCTGGCAGGCATCTGGGAACCTGGATTTCAGGAGAGCTCCCATCACTCCAAAAAGTGATCAGAGTGGTTCATAATGTATAAACTGTACAAACAATATGATTTAAAAAAATTTTTTTTAAAGATTTTATTGATTTGCCAGAGAGAGCACATGTACAAGCAGGGGGAGAGGCAGAAGGAGAAGCAGGCTCCCTGCTTAACAGGGATCCCGATGCGGAACTTGATTCCAGGACCCTGGGATCATGACCTGAGCTGAAGGCAGCCACTTAACCAACTGAGCCACCCAGGCCTCCTAAACAATATGATTTATACTGATTATCCGTTTTCTTTCTGGGTATCTGGAATTTGGGCAGGTACCAGGCAGAGGCTGCCTATCTGACCAGCTCTGTAGTGAGTTGAATAGTGCTCCTTCCCCTAAAGATATATCCACCTAAAACCTGTCAATGTGACCTGTGGAGAAAGGGTCTTTGCAGATGTAATTAAATTAAGGATCTTGAGATAGATCACCCTTGATCGGGGGGGGGGGGCGGCCATCCTAAATCCAAAGACAAGTGTCCTAAGAAAAAGCGAGAAGACACAGAGGGCAAGTTGATGTAAAAATAGAGGTAGAGATTAGGATGATACATCTACACTCCCACCAAGGTTTTTAGGCAGCAATCAAGTTAACAGAGAGGTCTGGAACAAATTCTTTCTCGCAGCCTCCAGAAGGATCCAAACCTGCTGACACCTTGATTTCTGACTTCTGCCTCCCAAACTGTAAGACAATACATCTCTGCTATTTTAAGCCACCTAGTTTGTATCCATTTGTTACAGCAGCCTTAGGAAAGAAACAGGAACTCCTGATAAGCATCTCTAGAACTTCCCTGATTGGCAACATTTCACACCCTTTATCACAACTCATTGGGACATTTAAGTGACTCCTCTGGGACCCCACTGAGAGAGGACCCTGGAGGCTGGAGGCTGGTGACTGGTTTCCCCCAAACTTTCCCCCCCCAAGAGTCTTTTCTCTTTGCTGATTTTATTTTGTATCCTTTTACCGCAATAATGATATAATGTAATAATATAGAATGACTATGTGCTGAGTCCTATGAGCCCTCCTAGCAAATTATCGAACCTGGGTGTGATCTCCCAATTCCCAAGCAGTAAAAACATTGCTAAGAAGAATTAGAGAAGACCTAAATAAACGGAGTGAAATGTCATGGCCATGTCATGGTTAGAAGACCAACATTATTAAGATGGCAGTTCTCTCCGAACTGATCTATAGATTCAATGCAATACCTGGGAAAATTTCAGCAGGTGGTCTTTTATTTTTTGTAGAAATTGACAAGCTAGGGGCACTTAGGTGGCTCAGTCTGTTAAGCATCTGCCTTCGGCTCAGGTCATGATCCCAGGGTCCTGGGATGGAGTCAGGCTCCTTGTTCAGTAGGGAGTTGGCTTCTCTCTCTCCCTCTGCCCCTCCCCTTGCTCGTGTGCTTTCTGTCTTGCTCTGTTCTCTCAAATAAGTAAAATCTTGGGGAGCCTGGGTGGCTCAGTCGTTAAGCATCTGCCTTCGGCTCGGGTCATGATCTCCGGGGTCCGGGGATCGAGCCCTGCATCAGGTTCCCTGCTCAGCAGGAAGCCTTCTTCTCCCTCTCCCACTCCCCCTGCTTGTGTTCCCTCTGTCACTGTGTCTCTGTCAAATAAATAAAAACTAAATCTTTTTTTAAAAAAAGTACTAGTTAATAATACATACTGAAGTATTTAGGGGTGGAGAGCATTGATGTCTACAACTGTCTTTGAAATTAATCTAAAAATAAGATGGACTGATGGATGGAGACATGAAGAGGACAGACAGAGATAAGGGTAAAACAGATGTAACAAAATATTAATTACTGATGTAGATTCCAGGTGGTAGGTAAATGGATGGTTGTGGTACAGTTCATTTTTTTCTGTATATTTGAACAATTCATAATACAATACTTGAAAACATTTGATTGCAGATCACTGTGTAAATGGTAGCAGTTTCTCTATCTTGATTTATAAAATGATGGCATCTTAAGTTCAATGACGTGATCATCATAAAAGATAACTTTGTGTGTCATCAAATATCCAGGTCCTTCATTTTCCATGCATTTAGGTTGGGTCCATGTGACTAGCTTTAGCCCTTGGGCTTTAAGTAGTGATACAGACATCACTTGCGGACCAAGGCAATTAACAACTAGCAGACCTCATTAATCTCCTGTCCACTGCCAGTGACCTGGGAGGCATGCATTCGGGAGGTGTAGACAGTGAAGGAGAGCCACCTGACTCCCCACCAGGCCGTGCGTTCGTGGAAAAGCCACGAGGACTTGGAGGCTCTTGACTCCGGCCTGGGCTAGCTTAGCCTAACTTTGGAGTGGGAGCTTTCATACAAACTCAAACACATACGGCACGTCCGATCAGGCAAGTTACTGTCTTAGCTCCAAACTTGCCCTTCGGCGGTGTGGGGCTGTGCGGCCTCGGCAGCCACTTTTCGGGGGACACATTTTTGCAGGCAAGGCTCTGCCCAGTGCTAGCGCTCGAGGGAGACGGGAGGCCAGAGGGAGCGGGGACTTGGCCCGGCAACCTCGCGTCTCCATCGCGGCACAGGTGGCTCGAATGATAGCTGTTACAGGCATTCTATTCGGTTTCGATCGACAGGCCTGAGCGTGCAAGGCAGCCCGGGTCACAGTATTGGGGAGCGCCGGCCGCAGGAGGAGAGGCAGAGGCGGGCGCGGGGCAGCACGCACGGAGGCGCGGCCCTGGAGACAACGATGCCCCGCTCAGGGTTCGGATACGAGCCCAGGACCTGACACCCTGTGCGGACCCCAGGGAGAACAAGAGCGGGAGACCCGGAATCGCTACCAATGTTCCAACTAGGCTGGGCTTCGTGTCGGGAGGCTGGCAGGGTGTCAGCAGCGACCATGCACTTTGGTTGTGAAGGCCGGCCGCGCACGCTCCCGCCAGCCTCCATTCCACACCCTTCTCGGGTTTCCCGGCTTGTCCCAGCTGCGCCCCCGGAAGCCCCAACACCCGCCTGACCCGACTTCCCTGGGTCTCCCACGGCGCCGCCACCGCCCTCCCGGAAGTTCCTCCTCTTGGCTCCGGCCGCTCTGGCCTGAGCGGGCCCTTCTCGCTGGTGGGCGGGGCGCCGCTCCGCCGCACGGCGCTCCTCCGGCCGCCAGGGGCGCGGAGACCGTCGCAGGGCCCCTCTGGCCCGCGGCGGCTGCTCTACTGCTCCGCGGCGCGGTCCCTTCCGGTGCCAAGGCCGCCGCCTCCGGGCTGTTCCCCCGGCAACGGCTCGGAACCGTTCCCCCGGCAACGCGCGGCCGGCGCAGTCCCCGCAGCCATGGACCCGCTGTCCGGCGCCGGGCCTCGCCGGGCTCGCGGCCGCCTGGGCGCGGCGTCCCCCGGAGCGCGGGCTGCGACGGCGCCCTGGGCGCGCTTCTCGGCCTGGCTGGAGTGCGTGTGCGTGGTCACCTTCGACCTGGAGCTGGGCCAGGCGCTCGAGGTGAGCGGGGCGGCCGGGCGGCGGCGGCGACGGGGGCGGGCCCTGCTCTGTAGGCCGCCGGCAGCCCGGGAGCTGTCTGCGCGGGAGGAGCCCTCGGGCCGACCCCCGGGCGGCCTCTTCCTCCTCCGAAGCCCTGCGCCGGACTTCCCCCCGGGATGCAGGAGACGGGGGCCCTGCACTTGGGATAACCAAAGCGGTGCTCTTGATTTTTCCCGGGAAAATCCGCCTCGTCTTTCCCCTCCCCCCATGAGCTGCGGAACCTCCTCTGCTCGGGTGCTCCAGCCAGAAGCCCGGGGGGGCAAGCAGCATTGGAGACGCGTTAGCTCGTTGCCGTCCCCCCTCCTGACTGTCCTTCACAGTCCGACCTTTGTGGCTCTCCTGCTTAAAATCCTCCCGCACCTCGTCGTTCACTTAGAATCAGACCCAGACTCCTTGTCCCTTTCCAGCCACGCCCGCCATCCTTCTGTGCACCAGCGGCAGCCCCCTCACCGGGCCTGGGGAGTTCCCATCCTGGGCAGCCTCCCTTCCTCCATGCGTCTTCACGCACGGGTGGAAATGTGGCCAACTCAGGGAGGGAGGCCTCCCTCAGGTCTGTCGGAATGGGCTTGCCTCCGCTCCGAAGGCCGGGGCACAACACCGGGGAGCTGTGGAGAGCTGGGCTTCGCCACACTGTCAGAAGGAACTTTCTGAGAGCCCTAGAGCTAGGACACCCGGGACCGCAGATGGCTGGGACGGGGCTGAACCGCCATTTTCGGGAAGCCAGTGCGGTGGTGGAGGGAAGGGGTGTGTTCTAAGGCTCTGCTGAACCCGGAGAGGCTGTGGGAAATCCGAGTCTTCTAAACAGAAAGGGCCGACCCTTACGGAGGACTTTTGCATCCCAGCACTGTGCCCAGCTCTCTATGGGCACCCCATTCCAGCACAGCCATCCGCACCAGGTGTGCATTACTGTAGTAGCCCCACTGGTCGGAGAGACCTGAGCAGAGAGCTGAGATGATCTGCCCGGTGTTACAGAGCCCACGTTCTTGCCGTGGCCCAAATTGCTCCTCAGAAAATCACTAGAAGTTAAAGAGATTCTCCTGCTTCCTTAAGGCATTCTCCCGTACATCTTTCTAGAACTCAACCATTTAGAAAGCTAATTCTAGGTGAGTACTGTTAAAGGCTCTGTGTGCTTGGGCTTCGGAGCCTTTGGTGCGGTGACACAGCTCTCGCAGGGGGTGTTGGGGACCCAGGGCCCCTCTAAATCACCAAGTCTATGTGGGAATTGGGCCATGAATCTATCAGACAGTCCTCATCAGGTTTGCCTCTTGATCGGGGGTTATTTCAGTTGAACCTTCTGGGTTTTGAGGAGCACCTGCCCCATGCTCACTTATTCACAGCTTGGACTGCCTGAGCACCGCAAACACCCCAGCATTGTACGAGGTGCTGGGCTGCCTTCCAGGAGCTCATCGCCCATAGTTGCTCTGTGGACAAATGCAGCTCAGAGGAAGAGGTAGGGCACGGCCAGTCTTGGAGGGAGGGAAGGGGGCAGCCGGGCAGGGGAGAAGAGCCTGCTTCAGGTAACCTCTCCCTCAGAAAAGCCAGCAAAAATAAAGGCAAGGAGCTGTCCATTCATTCGTCCAATAAACCAAGTACTGAGCAGCCAGGCCCTACAGCACCAGTGCTGGACACGGGGAAAGCAGAGTTAGGCGAGAAGACAAGGCCCTGCCCTCCAGGAGTTCACATTCTGTGCTAGAGACACAGTGGTTTGGGACCCCCAGCGCACACAGGCTATGGGGGGGAGGGGGCATCCAAGCCGATAGGTACACTGAAGCCTACAGGTGAGGCAGAGGAGGTCAGGCAAGGCCTTGGGGGATGGGGGCGACAAGAACCTGTGGATCAGCTGAGGAGAGGGTCTGGCTCCGCCCTCCCAGCTCTCCGGGTCCCAGCACATCTGGGAAGCCTGTGGGGTGAACTCTGGCTGGAGGGCCCAAAGAGGCCCTCTCCACTGGGGTGTTCATGTCCTCCCAGGACATAGCTCCCACACTGCACAGTCCCAGGACCCTTTACAGTCTTAAAAATTATTGACTCCAAAAAGCTTTTTGTATGGGTCATACCTATCAATGTTTACTGTATTAGAAGTTAAAACTGAGAAAATTAGGGGCGCCTGGGTGGCTCAGTCGTTAAGCATCTGCCTTCAGCTCAGGTCATGACCCCAGGGTCCTGCTCAGCCGGGCGCCTGCTTCTCCCTCTCCCACTCCCCCTGCTCGTGTTCCCTCTTTAGCTGTTTCTTGCTGTCTGTCAAATAAATAAATAAAATCTTTAAAAAAAAATGAGAACGTTTTTAGTACTTACTAAGCTATTGTAAAAAAACAAATACTGTATGTGTTAATATAAATATTTTCATGAAAACAACCATATTTTCCAAAACAGAATTTAGTATCATTTGACACTTTCACAAACCTTTTTTTTTTTTTTTGAAGATTTTATTTATATTTAGTGAGAGAGTGCATGTGAGTGACTAGGCGGAAGGACAGAGGAAGAGGCAGGGGATCTCAGGCAGAATCCTTGCTGAGCATGGAGCCTGATGTTGCGGGGCTTGAACTCAGGACCCTGAGGTCATGACCTGACCTGAAACCAAGAGTCGGATGCTTAATCCCCGGAGCCACCCAGACGCCCCCTACTTTTACAAACCTTTTAAGCATCTGGTCAGATAGAAGAGAGCTGGAGCCCCACATCAGCTTCTGCTGTGTATCCTGTGCTAGTGTGTGGTGCAGCCTCTGGGAACAGCCCTGCACACAAGTAACAGGATGAGCGTGAAGGAGGCAGCTTTGATGTCGCGGAGTCCTAGAGCTCCCTGGGACACTGAAGCACTGTCCTAGAGAGGTGCCTTCTCGAAGGACACGTGGCTACATCTGTCTTCCTCAGGGATGGCTGGGCTCCAGGAGCAGCACTGGTGCTGGCTGGCTCAGCAGAAACAGGGCCTTCGTGGGCCTGGGAGGATAGGGTCCTCGGGCAGCACAACTCCTTGCTTTCTGCCTGACGGTCGGCTCCATTCCTTTCCTCCTTGAGGCATGGCTCAACCTGGCCTTCCCTTTGGTCTCTGCTCCCAGGAGAAGCTGCACCAGCCCGTAAACATGGGTTCCCTGGCCATGGATGCAGAGGCCAATGTGGCCTGCTTTGATGCTGCAAGACTCCTGTGGCTGTCAGACCAGATTCGGACCCGTGACCTCAGTGGGAGGCCCGTTGCCCCAGCTGCCAGGCACCTGCCTTTCCTTGGCCCTCTTTAACACGGACACCTGAGGGCTTGGCTGAGTGGTCCTGTGGCCCCTGCCCCTCCTGGGGCTGTCCCAAGGTGCCTCTGTGGGTCTGGTCCCATAGACAAATCCCTTTCAGCTCCTGTCCCTTCTCTTGACCCTTCCTTCTTGTTGCCCCCTGAGCTGACATCTCCTTGAGGTTTTTGCACGACCTTCCTGTTCTGTTCTACCTCCAAGATGTGTTTTCGGACACATTGCAGATACTGTATTTGGTGAGGGTGTACTCGCTGCCGCGGCCAGGACTCCCTGTCCTCAGGACGCTGGTGTGTGGCAGAGGGGACAGAAGAGAGGCACAGCGGCCCGAGTAAAGGGACAAGAAGCTGCATCATTCCAGCGTGGCACTGCCCTCTCTTGGGGGTTCAGCCAACACCCCAGGAGAAGCCTCCTTTCAGCTAAAACCCAGCTCCTCCTGAGTGTTGAATTTTGGAGGACAGGGCAAGTAGGGGCTGCCTGCATGCAAGCCCGAGTCTCCTGACCCCCTGTGGACTCCCAGCGCTGCCCCTTCCAGAGAGCACAGGCCAGGGCAACAGCAAAGCCTAAGGCACCCCCGCTCCCCAGAAGACACCTCAGAGGCCCACTGGGAGTGAGGGCTATGGGGCCACCTGCCTTTTTGGTATCCTACGACGAAATCCATTCTGGCCTTGGGCCTGTGCATAGAGCTGCTGAGCCTGAGAGCCAGGCCTCAGCCCGCTGCTCCTCTAGGATGTGGCCTGCTCCTAGATCCCTGAGGGCCTGCTGCTGACCCTGCTGGGGCCAGGGTGCTCTCCTAGGGTTCTTGCTCCGGGGGGGGGTACAGGCCAGAAGGTCCCGGGTCCCTGACTAGCGGAGGTTGAGGTGACAGCACTCAAGGTGCTGTCAACAGGCATGGGTGCCACGGTCTTAGTGATATCTGAGGCCAGACCAGGACATGAGGAAGCCAGCCAGGCCCCATCTTGGGGAGCAAGCCTGGGGGAATGGTGCAGGCCAAGACCCTCTGGCTGAGTAGAGGCGTCCCGGAGGTGGAGGGAAGGGGAGGCGGAGGCCAGCAGGCAGATCCCTGTGATCACACTGTAGAGGAGAGAGGAGGCCACGGGAGGGCTCTCAAAACCACCTTCTGAAGCTGGGGGACAAACGTTGGAGACAGGAGAGGCGGGGAGGCCCGACCACAGTCCGCATGAGGGGTGTGAGAAGGAGTTGGGGAGCTGGCCCAGGTGTGGTAGCCAAGACAAGGGAAGGATAGAGTGCTCTCATGCTGAAAGGGCCCAGAGGAGGAGGTGGGGGCAAGACCAGCATTGCACCCACTGCCCAGCTGATGGTACCAAGTGCTCTGTGTCCCTGCAGCTGGTGTACCCCAGTGACTTCCGGCTCACGGACAAGGAGGTGGGTCCTGGCCCTCCTGGGAGCAGACGTGGCCCTGAATTGAGCCAGCCCTCACCCAGTTTCCTGTGTTTCAGAAAAGCAGCATCTGCTACCTGTCCTTCCCTGACTCCCACTCAGGTAGGCAACCCCAACTGGGACATTGGCTCTGGGGCTGGGGGTGGGGAGTGGGTAACAGGAAGAAGGTGGGAGATATGGCTGTCCAGGAGCCCCTGTGGCCCAGGCCTGGGCATGACCAGCACCAGCATCACTGCCTGTCCATGCCAGCCCCACTGCCTGCTCCATGGAGACACCCAGAACTCCACACTGCAGCAGTTGTGGTTAGGTGCCCCCGATTTTCAAGGAAAGTGTCTCTGGGCAGAGTGATCAGTGGGGTCTGGTCCCTTTCATCCCACTACAGTGGCCACCAGGAACTGGGTCCTGGCCTTTGCTCTTCTCCGGGGCTTAGGTGTCCAGGCAGCCCTGTTTTTCTGTCACAGAGCAGCTGACTGGGCCCCACTGGGGTCTCCCAGTGTCCCCTCTGTGCTAGCTGACTGTACCGATGTGTGCTGTGTTTATTTTGAAACTCTCAGGTACAGGAATTAGGGCACAGCCTTCCTTGAAGGCTGGGCTTTCTCTCTGGGGTGTTTACAGCCCGGTCTCTGGTCCCCTCCCCAGCATGCTGGCAGGAGAGGTCCCAGCCCTGACATGGGCTGGTGGGGGCTGCCTCCCCTTCCAGGCTGCCTCGGAGACACTCAGTTCAGCTTCCGCATTCGGCAGTGTGGCAGACAGAAGAGTCCATGGCATGCCGAGGACTGGCACTACAACAGTGGGGCGCCCGTGTCGTTGCAAGTGAGTGTGGGCAGCCTCTCCCCAGAGGCCAGGGTTGGGCAGTGGGAACAGCCAGTAGGGTTTCCAGTGCTGCAAGCCCCGCCACCCCGTGGGACTGGCACCCCAGCCTGCATTGGGGGTGGGCTAGCTCTCTCAGGCCTCTGAGCTACTGACCACTGTCCCTACAGAGATGTTCCCTGTCGAGGTGTTGGCCACCTTCTGAGCCAAGGACCCCCAGGCCTGACCCCCATGGCTGTAGCAGCCTTGGCAGGAGGTCTGGGTGGGCGAGAGGGAACCTGGGCAGTGGACTTGGCCTGGCTGACACTGTTCCTTCCAGAGGGAGCCAGCACACTACTTTGGTTACGTGTACTTCAGGCAGGTGAAGGACAGCTCCGTGAAGAGGGGCTACTTCCAGAAGGTGAGCCACCTCACTGCTCTGGGGTGGTGCTGCCGTGAGTCAGGGCTGGTGGCCATCAGGCTAGGGGTCCTGAGCCTCCAGAAACGCCCACTCCTCCTGAAGCCCCTCGCCACTTGGCACTGGGCAGAACTCACTGCCCTGGGCCATGTAGGCCGCCCTGCCTGGGCAGCGGGTGAGGGTTTGGGGGATGGGTGCCGCTGTACCCAGCTCTCCTGCTGGCCCTTTGGGGAGTGGGCCCTGCTGCCCTGCCTTGCCCGGCACAGCACCCTGGCCCTCTGTCTCTGAGCTCAAGATATCCCTGCTTCTTGCTGCTGACTGGGGAGGGGCCCTTGTCACACGTTCAAGATAAGGACAACTTCCGTCTTGAACTCAGACACCATAAGCAAAAGCTGCTTGACTCCTCGGGAGATCATCCCAGAAATCTTGGTCATGTGCATTTCCCTTTGAAGGCCCAGGGCCCAGCTGTCATCTGAGGTTTCCCTGCCTTGTCTGAGGCAGGCTTTGGGTTTTCTTCTAATAACTCCGGGGTCCAAGTTGGCCCATCCCTATGGGGTTTGTGGGATGCACTTCCCTGGGCAGACTGTGGATGAGTCTGGGATTCCATCTTACTGGCCCTCTGGGCCCTGCAGTCTCTGGTGCTGGTGTCCCGCCTGCCGTTTGTCCGGCTATTCCAGGCGCTCCTGAGCCTGATTGCCCCCGAGTGCTTCGACAAGCTGGCCCCCTGCCTGGAAGCGGGTGAGTGGCCGTCAGGTGCCGCCCGCGTGCTTTCACCACCCCAGCCATAGACCCCAGTGGCTTCGACAGGCTCCTGACGCTAGTCCCCCGTGTCCACAGTGTGCAACGAGATTGACCAGTGGCCAGCCCCCATGCCTGGGCAGACCCTGAACCTGCCTGTTATGGGAGTCGTCCTCCAGGTGAGGGCTGGCCGTCTGGGGAGGGAAGGCCCCAGGTTCCCGGAGACACCCACGCCCCTCTGGCAGCTACTCCCTTTTGTCCCCCAGGTTCACGTCCCGTCCAGGGTGGACAGGCCTGAGCACGGTCCTCCGAAGCAGTGTAGCCATGAGGTGGGGGCCCTGCTCCTGGGTCGGTGGTGCCGCCCCTCCCACCTCCCCAGGCCTCCCTGCCCTTCCTAGGGGCCTGCCTGCATCTTGCTGTGGGGCTAGGTGCCCCCCACCCTCTCCAGTGCTGTAGGGATGGGGGTGAGGAGCTGTGCAGGGCAGGGGCTGTAGTCCCCAGGAGTCTCCTGGGGTGAGAGGTGCTGCTTGGGGCTTGCAGGGTGCCAGCCTTGCCCTCGGCCTGACCCCACCCGCTCCTCCTCTCAGAACCTGCTGCCCGCCCCCGTGGTCCTCACCAGCGTCCATGAACTGGACCTGTTCAGGTGAGGCCTATAGGCTGCTGCCTGTTGCCTGAGTAGGTGGTCAGGGGACCTGTGAGGTAAAGCCTGTGCAGGGTGGGGGCTGCCGGAGGGACTGCCTATCAGAAGTGAACCCTTGGCCAGTTCCATGAGGGAGAGTTGTGCAGGAGAGAAGCCCAGGGCCCTGCTGCCTCTACCCAGAGGGCAGGAAGCTGTCAGAAGTCAGGTGCAGGGAAGGGAGCTGCTGCCTTGGGAGATACTCACTGCTCCTCTCCAGGAAAGTCTGTGAGGGAGCCAGGCTTCGGAGACCCAGCTGCCCTGTGCTGCCGGCTTATGTGTGGGGGTGCAGGGCCAGGTGTGTCATCGGAGTGTGGGGCGGCCCTAGGCACCCCCTCAGCATCTTCAGAGGTCCTCGCTGCTTTCCTCCAGGGCAGCGTTCACCTAGAGCTAGACCTGCCGGGGGCAGGGAGGGTCAGGGCTGGGAGCCCCCACCCCTGCTGACTGGAGCCTGGCACTAGGTGCTTCCAGCCTGTGCTGACCCACGTGCAGACTCTGTGGGAGCTCATGCTCCTCGGGGAGCCCCTGGTGGTCCTGGCACCCTCGCCCGCCATGTCCTCAGAGATGGTGCTGGCCTTAATCAGGTAGGCCGGGCGGCAGAGGGAGGGGGTCGGGGGCACCTGAGCGGCCCTGGCTCTGCTTATAGCTCGGGCTGTGCCCCCGCCCCGCAGCTGTCTGCAGCCCCTCAAGTTCTGCTGTGACTACCGCCCCTACTTCACCATCCATGACAGCGAGTTCAAGGAGTTCACCACGCGCACGCAGGCCCCGTAAGTGCCCTGTCCATGCCCCGTCCTCCACCTGGGCTCCACCACCCTGGGCCTGCCTCTGCCCCTTCTCTCTCTCTCTCTCTCTTCTCTCCTCTCTCTAGACCAAACGTGGTCCTGGGAGTCACAAACCCTTTCTTTATCAAAACACTCCAGCACTGGCCCCACATCCTCCGTGTTGGAGAGCCCAAGATGTCAGGTGAGGCTGGCCTGTCCTCTGCCCAGGGGACCTGGGGAGGTGGGGCCTGGAGGGCTCTGAGCCTGTGGCGGGTGGAGCTGCGGCACTGAGGCCCAGCGCTGGGTGTGTTCTGTAGGGGATCTTCCTAAGCAGGTCAAGCTGAAAAAGCCCTCTAGGCTGAAGACCCTTGACACCAAGCCAGGTGTGTGCCCCTTGGGCCAGAACCCCTCCTCTCCTCCAGAACCCAGGCAGTGGGCTCTGAGTTCTCAGGGAACCTTCTCTGCTTCACCCGGTTGGAGGTGGGCATAGATGTGCAGTCCCAGCCAAAGGGGGTGGGGCTATAGGGGGAGGCCCTTTGGTACAGGGCCAGCTCTGCCCTCCTGCCAGGCCTCTACACCACGTACTCGGCCCACCTCCACCGGGACAAGGCACTGCTCAAGCGGCTGCTCAAGGTACAGGCTGGGGGAGGCCGGAGGCGGGGGTTGGGGGTGTGCTTGCTCTGTGTAAAGGGCTGCATTGGAGTTGAGCCCATGCCTCCCCTTCCCTTAGGGGCTGCAGAAGAAGAGGCCCTGGGACACACAGACAGCACTGCTGAGACGGCACCTCCTGGAGCTCACGCAGAGCTTCATCATCCCCCTGGTGAGGCCCAGGGCAGGAGGGGGATGGGGGCAGAGGGCCATGGCCCCAGGCTCACTCCCCTCCCCCACCAGGAGCACTACATGGCCAGCCTCATGCCCCTGCAGAAGAGCATCACACCCTGGAAGGTGCGGGTCCAGATGGCAGTCTGGGGAAGGCCTGGGAAGGAGGGAGGGAGGAGGTCATTGGGTGTGCAGGAGTCCCCAGGGCTCTAGGCTGTCCCCACACATGCCAGACATCCCTCATAGGACAGAAAAATGGGGGCCGCACATGAGGGGCTCTGTCCCGGGAAGGGTGGGGGCTGTGGGTCCTCATGTGGCTGAGGAGTGTGGCAAGGAAGGGTCCTGGCCAGCTGAGGGGCAGGGCTTGTGAGGTTGTGTCCCCCACCAACCTGGGCTCACCAGGCCCCTGTCTTAGACTCCTCCCCAGATCCGCCCTTTCCGCCAGGATGACTTCCTGCGTAGCCTGGAGCACGCAGGGCCCCAGCTCACCTGCATCCTCAAGGGCGACTGGCTGGGCCTCTACAGGTGGGTGGATGGCAGGTAGGGTCCTGAGGCTCCTGCAGTGGTTGGTGCAGACTGCCCTTGCACATGGGGTCATGGGGTCAGCCCACAGCTGCTGCATCTTGCCACCCACAGGCGGTTTTTCAAGTCCCCCCACTTTGACGGCTGGTACCGGCAGCGGCACAAAGAGATGGCCCAGAAGCTGGAGGCCTTGCACCTTGAGGCTATCTGTGAGGCGGTAAGGGGGAGCTGGGGCTGGGGGAGGAGGTGGGGGGGCATGCATGCCCAGAGCAGGGGCTGGGGGGGGGCGCACAGGGGCAGAGTGAGGGCCTTGGTGGTGGATGGCTCCATCTTGTCCCCAGCAGAACATCGAGACTTGGATGAAGGACAAGTCTGAGGTGGAGGTCGTGGACCTGGTCCTGAAACTTCGGGAGAAGCTGGTGAGATGCCTCCTGGCCCTGTCCAGCCTCCACTAGCCAGATGTGGAGGTCGCCTACCCCTGACCACCGCTGCCCCTGCAGGTGCAGGCACAGGGCCACCAGCTCCCAGTGAAGGAGGCAGCACTGCAGCGGGCACAGCTGCACATCGAGACTGTCATCGGCTCTTTGCCCAAGGACCTGCAGGCTGTCCTGTGCCCTCCCTAGGACAGGGCCAAGGGGCGAGGTCCAGGGGCCTGGGTCTGGCCAAGCTTCCTTCTCCTCGGTGAGAGGTGGCCCCAGCCAGGCACGAGCTCCCGACCCGAGCTCCCCGCAGCTGCTGTCTAGCCTTGGCCATCCCCGTCGGCACCCGTGTTGTTTCAGCAGTAAAGGTGGCATTTGGAACCACAGCCTGGCCCCTGACTGTTGGTGGATGACGTGCTGGCCAGAGCCTTACCTCCCCCTGGGTCCCACCTGCCTGCTGCAGGGCCCCAAGGCTGGGAGGCGGGGCTGGCTTGGAGCCCTCCCTGCTCTGGGCACAGGGCCACCCGCCCCCTGTGGTGCCCACCTGCCCAAGCCCTGGGGCCCCAGGCCTTGTATTTGATGTGTCCTTTAGCCCCACTAGGCCGCCCAGCCCAAGACGGAAGGAGGCAGCTGTTAGGCGGACACCTCTTCTCACATGGCCAGCCACCCGTCTGGTGGGGTGCAGGGGGACCAGGATACTTGGCTGTTATGGTCATTGGCTGGGGTGGGGCAAAGGCCTGTTTGCGGGGCGGAGCTCTGCCCTGTAGTTTGTTGGGAGGCTGCCAGGAGGGTCTGGGGCATCGTCCTGGGTCCCACTCTTGGAGCACCCGGCCGGCCCCCTTCCGTGTACTCTGCCCAGTGCTGCTGCTTCTCTGAGAGGCACTCGAGCTGCCTGCCTCCCATGTGTCCATCCACCCCCTTGTGCAGCTGGAGGGGTTTGGGACTCTAGACTTACTGGAGGCCCTCAGCTGCAGCCCTCCATAGTTGCTGCAGACTGGAGCAGCGGGCTCCTCTGCATGGAGCGGAAGGGCCCTCAAAGGTGCTAACCTACCCAGTGTGGCACGGTGCAGTGCTGCGCCCGGTGGAACCCAGTGGCTTAGCACGGGGTGACGGCATCGTCAGCCCACGGGAGGGTGGGCGTGAGGTGCGAACCCAGCGTTGTGAGCCTGCAGGTAAGTCTCCCGACCTCCAGCCCTCACCTCAGACGCCTCATCTGAGCGGCGAGGCTGTGTGGATGTCTGACTGGGCTCTGCCCCACGGGGCCTGAACGGGGCTCGGCCGTCTCCCTGAGCGCAGGCCCAGGGAGGTGCTACCCCTTCTCCTGAGTGGCTGCCGAGGGAGTGCTCACTGGCCGCGGCTCTCCCTGCTCTGAGCTTGGCCGGGCCGCGGGGTGCGTGGCACGGCTCTCAGAAACACCGCTTTCGACTCATCCACCTGACGGTGGCCTAGGACAGCCTGTCTGAACCCAGTGTGGGGCAAGGTCCGAGGGCATGGCTGTTAATGGAAGAGTACAGAATAGAGCCTGACGGGCAGCAGACCCAGGTTTGCAGACAAAATAGGCTGGAGCTGGGGAGTGGGAGGCCCCATGTTGGCCCAAGATGCCGCTCTGGGCAGCCTGCCCTGGCTGTCTGGTGTGGAGGGGTGACCTCCTCACCCGGGGTGTGGTCTTGAAGGGGGTCTGCAAAGATGCCTGCACCTTTCTTGTGGCTGGCTGGTGCTCGCGTGTGCCTTCTAGGGCCAGGGCCAGTCCTAGGCCCCCCGAGCGCTATGGCTCCAAGGTGTGTGGGAGGCTTGGGAAGTTGACCTGGGTCCTGCTCACAACGGTGACCCCAGACATCACTCTAGCTTGTGCTTGAGTGTCCAAGCACCGGGCAGCCACTTCACGTGGTTTTCGGAGGTCTGCTGCAGGGAAGGGGCTGTGAGGGGGCCTCCTCCAAGCCACCAGGGACCTTGGCCACCATCAGTCCAGGATGGCCCAACCAGGTTCCCCCAATTCCCTGAGTAACCCCCCTGGGGATTTGAGGGCTGTGTTTTGGGCCCCTGGCTGTCCCTCACAGCAGTTCATCCTAAGGACCACTGTGGGCAGGAGCTCCGGGGAGGGACTCCAGGCAGGGTGGGCAACGCAGCCTGGCGTGGAGAACCCAAGGCTGAAGTGGAGAGGTGTGAGGGAGCACGTCTCCTGGAGTGCCTGGGGCCATGAAGGATCCCTCTTCCTAACAGCCTAACCTCTCTGCACAGAGGTGGCCTCAGGTGGGGGCTCTGTGGGAGCCTGGCATGAAGTCCTGCCGGCTCTGTTCTGTCCCCCATAAGCTCCCTTGTTCCCTCCTAGGATCAGGCCAGCTCTGGTTTGGCTGAGTTTCTGGCCCCCAGCAGGCCCCCAGCAGACAGTGAGGGGGAGGGGGCAGACAGATGAGGCCCTCCTGCCCCTGTCACCCGGATCAGAGCCCCAAGGGCAGGAGGGCCCCCAGAGGCAGGAGCCAACTGGTCCAAGAGGGTGTTGTGCTTGGTCGCTGAGGCCTCTTGAGGTTGGAGGGGCTGTGTGCTTGTGGCCATGGGGGACTTGTCAGCCACACCAGGGACAGGAAAGACAGTCCTCACCCCCATGCTTCCTGTGCTTTATTTAAAGATTCCCTTTTAGTCTGGGATAGTGGCCTTCCCACATTTCTGGTATTAAAATGTCCTTTAGTGATAATGCCTCTTTTAACTTCCTTTTTTGATTAAAAAAAAAGTTGGCGTTCTTGTCAGACCCTGGTAATTTTAGGGGTCCTCTGCAGTGGGGACTGGGTGGGCCTTGGTGTGAATGTGGTTCAGGGCTGAAGGAGGGAAGGTTTGGCCTGGTTGGTTGGGGGTGGCCAGCCCCTGAGATGTTGGGAGGACTGAAGGACATGCTCCTAATGCTCCTAAGGGCTTCATCTGGTTGGAGTTCTTGATCACTGGGGGCAGGTCTCCGGGTGGAGGGAGCTGGAGGGTGTGGAGGGGACAGGAGGAAGTGAACAGTCTGCAAGGAGGGGAGGGCGGCGTCCTGGTGTAGGAGTGCTGGTTAGGGTTTGGGAAACAGGCCCTTGTCTTCCCTGGGTCCCCAACTGCTGCTCACCCCACCGGTCCTGTGACTGGAGACTGCAGGTGAGGGGCACAGCAAGCGCTCACAGGACAGCTGGCCCCACGGGGAGGGTGCCCACCTCTTCTCAAGTCCAGGCACACAAACCCCTGGTGCTGGTCCTGGGGGCGGGTCCCTAAAGGCCCTCTGGGAGGCAGCCGGCGCACCTCTAATCCTAAGAGGTTGGGGGGCTGAGGCTCCAGGGAACTGGTCAGGGCGCAGCAGTCCCCGGCCCGCGGGGACAGCAGGGGATGCGGCAGGCCTGAACCCAATCTGGCGGTGGCCCTGGTGCCCGATGGCGCCCGAACCGCGAGGTGGCTGGGGCAGGGGTGGCTCGGGGCGCTCCCAGGCGGTGCCCGGCCTAGGGGCGCGCGCTGCCTGCCCGAGAACCTGGGCTCGAACCCGGCCGAACCTATCCCGCGACGCGGTGGGCTCTGTGTGGCCGCGGGGCGCGGGGCGCGCCCCTCCCTCCTTCCCCTCTCCCCCTCCTTCCCCTCTCCCCCTCCTTCCCCTCTCCCCCTCCTTCCCCTCTCCCCCTCCTGCCTCCCCGCCCCTCCCTCTCCTCCCTCTCCGTCCCTCCCTCCTCCTCCGCCTCCTCCCTCTCCCTCCTTCTACCCCGCCCTCCCCCTCTCCCCGTCGGGGGCGGGGCCGCTGCTCCCGCGCGCTCCGGCCCCTCCTCGGCCACACAAAGGCCCGTCTCCATGGCAGCCGCGCGGGCCGGAGCGCAGCGCCGATCGCGGCCCGGGCGCCATCGAGCCTCGGCGGCGGACGTGCAGGTACCGCGGTGGGGGTACAGGGCCCACGGTGCGCCCGCGCGGGTCGGGGGGCTTCGCCGTCAGCGCCGCTCCGTCCCAGTCTGCGCGCTTTGAGCGCCGGGACCCGGGGCAGCTGCTGCTCCGCGGGCGGCGATCGGGCCTCGGCCGCAGTCCGTGTGCCCTCGGCTCTTCCAGGTGGCCGGCGAGGCCCGCGGCGCCGGGGCGGGTGGGGGGAGGTTCGGGCCTGGCCCGGCCGAGGGTCTCCAGCCCGGCGCAGCGCCCTCTGGACCGCTTGGACCCCTTCTGGTTCCCGATCGTCCCTCCCCGCCCATGCCTTCCATCTCTCCAGACACCGAGATCTGTGGGCAGGGCTGCAATTGTCCCTGTTGTGCAAGAGCTCGGGGGCCCCCACCCACCTGCCCCCAGCCCGGCAGCAGTTACCGGGTGGCTGAGCCCAGGCTTCCCCAGAGGGCTGGACCCGCAGTCAGGGTTTAGCAACCCTCCCCCTGCACACCCGCTGGGGCTCCTTGTAAGGACCACCCTGTGATCTCCCTGGTCTCTGCTTGGCTGGGTGTAGAAGGTGGGAGCAAGGGTTCCGGGGTGGGACTAAGGGCAGCTAAGTCCCGGTGGCCCTGGGCCTGCCTTCTTCTCCACAGGGCCTGCTAAGGCGGTTCCTGGTGTGCTTAATTGGCATAGTGTTTAGGTAGACATCCTGGATCCCAGAAGGTCTCAGAACTGTGTGGGTCTGGGGGCATACCTGGTGCCTGGGCCCTCCCCTCACCCTCTGTGACCCAACACCTCTGCATGCTTCCTCCTGCAGGAAGCCCTCCTGGCTGGGCTCTTCCCACCCCTCTGTGCTCAGGCTTATTAGCAGATTTCTGGGGTCCCTGAACTCAAGAGCCCGGGAGCTTCCTGCCACGTCACTAAAGCTTCTCTTCCCAGCAACTTGGAAAAGGAAGGAAAGGGTCTGTGTCCACTGTGACCTGTGGCCAGGACTGGGGGCAAAGCTGGGCCCCAAAGCTAGTGGAATATTTCGGGGTTTGGAGGGTTTTCTGGCCTGTGCCTGCCGCGGGGAGCTCCCTCATCCATGTCTAACTTAAGCTGGGCCCTGTGGAGAGTGGGGGAGCAGGAGGGTGGAGGGGTGCAGCTTGACCCATGCCCAGATGTTAACGCTGGCATGGCCTGGAGTTGCCATCTGAGAGTCTGAGAGTTGAACAGCTAGCGGAGAGGCCATCCCCTGCTCTGAGGTGAGGGTCCCCAGGAGGGTAGGGTCAGCTTCGGCCCAGCTGAGCCTGCTGGGTACTTTTTGTGGCACGTCAGCTTTTAGGAATTCCCAGAGATTAAGGACAGACAGGTGGGCTCCACAGATCTGAGCCTCCCACCTCTTCCCAGCATACCTATGGAGTGGGGCGGGGGGCGCACCCTGGTCTATGGGGTAGGCCCCTCTGTGAGACCTGAGGTCAGGCCAGGGGTTCCCCCCCAGGGAGGGAGGGAAGTTACTGAGAAAAACAAGGGTTTGGAATGTGAGTCCCCC